TCCAGGCAGACGTTGCGGGGGGGTGTGCCCCTCAGTAGTTCTTTATTTTCTTTTGTTAAAGGAAGTGTTAGATTTGAGCTTTACAGACGGATTTAGAAACTGTTGTATGTATGGTCTGCTTGACAGTCTCTTAGTGATCTTGCCATGGAATAAAAAAAGAACTAACAAAGCTGTAAGCAGTGGGCCCTGTGCTGGTGCCTGCAAGCGTGTTCTGCAGAGCGCTGCCACCTGTAGCTGTAATGCTGAGTGGAGATACCACACTCTGCAGTTCTCAGAACTTCCAGGTGCTTTCTCTGTTTTGCTGTAAAGTACATCTCTTCTTAATTGCATCTTTTTCTAGCAGTTCCACCCGTGGGAGTTTCCAAAGCCTGTTCATCGTGTGTAAGAACTGCTGATGTCAAGGAAGCATGTACACAGTGCGACCAGTTCGTCTGCCAGAACTGCAGCAGGCTCTGCAGCTGCTGTAACACAGTTACCTGTTCTTTGTGCTCCACTGTTGAGTAAGTGCCTTTTGAATTTTTAAGCTTATTTTAATTGTAAAACAATTGTCCTGAAAATTTGCTGTAGCACATGAAGACCTAACAAGAGATCGAGCTCATCCACATGATGGACTTGGAACTCCTCTCATGTTGCTTTAGCAGCAGTAAAACTGTCTGAAGCATGGAGAATAAAATGCCTATGTGAAGTAGTCTAATCAGTCTTAGTGCAAGTTTAGTTTAGCTTCTCCTTTAAATGTTCTAGGAGCAAAAAATCCTCTTGCTTTCCTGCCAGCAATATAGTATGCTGGCCAGTGATGAATGAATACACTCCCAAGGAGTAATCTTAAGTTTTTGCCATCATTGTTAACAGTTCTATGATATAAAGAAGTATTGAGTGTGCTGTGTGGGAGTCGCGTGGTTACAGTTGATAATGAACAGGATGCCATTCTTTGTTATGTTCCAGAAACAGTAGACACACTGACTTTGTTTCTTTTGGTTTTCTTTTTTTTTTTTCCCTAGTTATGGTGATGTGGGAGAGCAAGTTCTCTGCAATGGTTGTTCAATATTTCAAGTCTGAAACTTGATGAAATAGCCTTTATAGCTAAGATGTCCATAAATTTCATGAAGTCTCCTCCTTACGGCTGGTCAATTAATCCTTTTAGCATGTGAATTAATTATGGAATTTCTATGTTTTATATCTTTATATTGTACTTTTTAATATTGTAGCTAAATAAACTTTTATATTTTGAGGATTTCTAGATTATTTTGAGTCAACTTTCTCCTTTTCCCTAGTTGTGATATGCTTATCTGGAAGGGGCCACTTTGTGCTCTTACCTGGTGTTCCTTATGTGATATAGAATTCAGAATATTCATTCAGTGTCTCTCCACTTGTGGCTCATGTTAGGACAAACTTTTGTGGGATCAGAATAGAAATCAGTTGCTCCTTATGTGCTTTCAGGTGAGTGTAAATCTTTTCTGGACACACAACATTTTCTTTGTGAGCTAACTAGAAAGATGAGCCAGGCCTGAAGGCTTTTCCAAATAGAGAATTTGCTGATTTCTGGCTAAATTTTTTTAAACTGTCACAAACATCTTATGAGTACTGACCGCTTGAGTGGTTTTACTTGTTCATTCCATGGTAACTTTGATAGAAAGAGCAATGGTACACCAGGCTTGGAGCAGAAAAGCTTTTTCAATAGTTAAGTGTCAAAGACTAATTTTCCTGTACTGTCCTTGCAAGGTCTTTCTTGGAAAGCAGCTTGTTTGTGTAAGTTGATCATCTACATTGTAAACTTCGTATTGTCCTGCATACCCACTCAAAAATAGCTCATGAAGTGGTCTGAAAAATGGTCAGCATTCAAGTGTACATCTCCATAAACTGGTTCATTCCTCATTTTCCTTTCGTATCATTGCAGAGACCGGTTTGCTTAGTATTGTTTGTGCTGTAGGAGTGCGACTATCATTAAGTACTACTGGAAAGCCCGTCAAAGTAATTTTATTTTACTATTTTTGCTATGTTTTTAAAAATAAAACCACCAGACTTTTCATCTTGCAAACCAACCATACATAAGACAACGCTACAGTGGTCTTTACTTCAGGAAAATGATGACTTCAGTGGCTGGGTTCAGACTGTAGGGAAAAAAGGAACAGATTTGAGAGAAAAAAGAAATTCTCATGACACACATAGCTAATGCTCTGTTTCCCAGATTATTTGCCCTGAATTCCCAAAGCAAAGTCTGCCACTCACTTCCCAGTCTTCTCAACTGTGATTAGTATGTTTTGTGTGGAGTAACCGCTTTTTACCTCTTCCCCTCCCCTCTAGCCATTTGTATTTGAAGAAATTGAAAGGCCCTTGCAATGCAAGTTGAGAGACTTACTTCTCTTGTGGGGACATCTTTATTTGGGGTATTTTTACTGGGTATTTTTATATTTTAGAATACTGCAACTAACCAAACAGAACAGTAAATGCTTTAGTAAGGGGTGGGGTAATAGCTATTGCTGAATAGCACTGCTTCTTCATAGCTGCACATTGCATGGCTTTGGATATATCAGCCACAATGAGGTGCAAGATGACATTCTTTCTAGCCCCAGCGTAATACCTTGTATAACAGAGACACTTCAAAAGCATTTTTGCCCTTTAGGGTATCCTGGGGGAGGTGGTCACTTCCCTACTAGGTCAACCATCTGTGTGCTAGCATAGTCTGGCTGATGAGTCTCATTTGTTTCCCTGTTCTGCATGCTTTGTAGCCGGTTAAAATGTGAGAGTTGACTAGTTCTTACCCCAGTCTTGATTTTGAGCAACTATAAAATGTATCTTGTCCCCATCCCCAAAACAAATAAAGAAACAAAAGTCTATGTCAGTCAAGTGAGCTAGTAGTAAAAGTATTAGTCAGAGTGTGCAGTAATTCCACAGTATTATCTATCTTTTCAAAACTGTAATAGGTTAAGTCAGGATGATGGCAGATCTCTGGTGCAGTTCCTAGCTATCAGGTATCATAGGGCAGATAAAAATGTTGTTCCTGTGGTAATCATCTTAAAACACAAAGCTGAGTTTTATGAGTGGGAAGAATCTGTGGGTTACTGCATTTAAATGTTAGTTTTAGGAAAGAATTTAAAAGCTTGGCTTTGTTTCATTTGAAGCTCTAAGCAGTGAATGAAAATGTTTTTCAGTCAAGCATGTTTTTCAAACTGAAACCTTTAAGTATGTATCTGCTGTTTGTCATTCTCTCCTGAGGGTGAGAGACTGAAAATGCTGTTTTGCTTCTAGGCTCCTGGAGAGATGAGACATGTTGTTTACAAATGATTAATGTTTCAAAGCAGTTGATGGGCATATTTTTTGGCTCATTTAGTCACTGCTGTATTTCACAGAAAGCTGTCCTCTGTAAACAATGACATGGATTTCATAACTTAAAGTTCTTATTTGTTATCCTCTAGCCTGCCCCTTGAAAAATGGTTGATCATTGGGACAGGTACCCGATGTGGAGTGAAGAGCTGGGAGAAGAAAAAAGCAGGAGGGCTGGAACAGAATGGTTGGAGGTTGGGAGGAGCCGGGCAGGAGGAGCACAGAACAGTGTGGTCAACTCTTGCATCAGAGTGGTGCATCATACACGTAAGAAATGGTTTTTTTTAGTGGTTACCACCTCATTTGCTTCCTTGGCTTCAGAAGGTGTGAAAAACTTCTCATGTGCTTCTATCTCCCAAAAGTACTCAAATCTCATTATTGAGGAAAGTTCCTGCTCTAGTCCTGCAGTTCTTAGATGAACAATGGGAGGTAGGACTGGGGACTCTTTTTAAATCTTTATATTGCCTACAGAGAAAACATATGGGAAGGGAAGAATCTTTGGGTGAGAGGTCCAAAGATTTTTCTCTTTGTCTAATTAACTCACAAGACCTTTTCTGTCGCCACTGGTCATAGAACTGTACATTAGGTACTCCTAGGACTGCACAGGAGAGCCAGAGAAATTGTCTGATTTATTAATTGAGCAGGAAGTTGTTTTTTATACTGTGCTTTGTTGTTATTGTATGTTCTTCCCTCCTATTCAGTGTAAAGTGTCAAAAATCAAAGTTTGCCTGTTTTTTAGAGATCGTCTGAGGAGCCAGCATATTGATGGGTGAAAATATCCTACAGTAATGATTTTACAGATGGATGAGAAACCTCTTCTGAGGCCTGTATATCGTTACTGGTGAAATACGTCTCAAAGAGCACAGTTTTATGTCTAAAAGGAAGTCAACTGATCTGATCAGGATAAAACAATTTCCTTTAAGCCTAATATGTGAGTAAATACTAGAAATGCATGGTTTCAGAGATACCAGATATTCCTTTAGGGACAATCCAAGATGGTAAATGATTTCAGTAGTCTTCAGTATCTACAATCTGTGTTAGAACAAAACCACACGATATTATGAAGAACTTCAGTAAAAAGATCAAATACACTTGAGTTATCTCCTTCAATAGCATTTATCCATTACATGCATCCCTCATAGTAGTGTTGTGTCCTTGGTAGGTAGATCAGATTTGGTGGTTACACAAATAACCTTAGTCCTGTGTGCACAATGAGTAATTCCTGTATGTTTTGTAGATCAGGTCAGAAGCCTGTTTGCTTTCCAAGAGAAAAGTGAGCCATTACACAGATGATCCAGACACCCTGGGGAAAAAAAAAAAAAAAATCTTAGCTCAGGATACAAATCTAACCAGTGCCATTGTGTGATTGGTACCTCTTTTGTTTAATACAGCCAGCACCTCAGCCTCTTCCCCTCTTTTCGTTTTAGTGTCGTACCCATTTGGACCCTGACTTGTAGCCAATTCATAGCCTTTTTTTTTTTTTTTTTAATTTCTTTCTGGGCAGGTGCTAACTAGATGCAGCTGTATTTTATCTTAGGACAGGGCACAAAACCCAAGCTATTTAGGTGTAAGCGAAAGATGATGTCCTTTTTTATTTTATGAATATGGGTAAGACATTTATGCTTTGCTTCTGTGCTGTATTTGCTATTTGCTACCATCAGCAGTATCAGTGAGTTACTAAGAAGTGGCAGCAATCTACAAATGGTTTAAATCTTCTGAATCTTATCTGAAGAGCTGCAACCAAGAAGTAGAAACGGAAACAGTATTTTTGTTCCCTAGGTGTGTTAAGTCTGATTCTTTTGAAAATGCACAACTAGCCTCTAGGTGAATTGGTTAGTCAACAGCAAATGCCAGCACTATGCAAATAATACATACTTCTCTCTTTCACCATGCAGGACCCAGTTGCACGATGGTTTTGTGTTTTGACAAGGTCAGACTGGATTAAAACATTGAATCCTAGCAAAACTTAACCGATACTAAACTCCCACCTATGCTGTATGTGTACAAACTTAGATATACTGCTCCCTTGTAATTTTTGGTTAGTTGTGATACTGTTTCATCATGGCAGATGATGCAACTATTAGCTATTTGTGCCACTTTTACCTTCCATCTAGATTCCAATAGTGCTGACTACCTAGGCATGAAGTCCTCAGTGCTTGGAAACGCTCCAGATAGCATAGGGTGTGGCAGTATATCTCCACAGTTTCTTCTGTATATGTCAAGCTTGTCCTTTGTTCTGTGCAGTGGTTTCCCATTGATTGTCAGACTAAGCTTAAATCCCAAGCTATTGTAGAAATGTGTGGGGTTGCCCAAGCAGAGGGAGGAAAACCTCAAACCATCCAACAGAAGCACTCTACCAACGGGCAGAACAACACTGCTACAGCAGCACAAAGATTATATAGCCATGCTTTGTCGCGTAGGTCTTACAGCTTTGCAATTGCGAAATGAGAGGGGTGGTGGGAGGCTCTTCCAAGAGAGCATCTTTCTTCCAGCAGGCTTTTGCGTGAGGACAGGTAAGGAAGACCAAAATACACCCTGATGTTGAGTTTCCTTGTGCTGTTTCTTCGACTCTCTTTAGGGTTTTTCATTACTGAATCTTACAGGAGAAGGTAGCAAAGCTTTGAACATTGTGTTTTGTTCATATTGAAGCAAATTGGTTAACCTATTAACCAAGAGGCTTCAGAAAACATTAATATGTCTTTAAAAAATAAATAGGAGCTATGTAATTCAAAGACCATGCTTGTGGATAGAAAATTGGAAGAAAATTATTCTAAATCTTACCTTCTATTTTACATTAATAAAATTGCAATAGAGTGAAAGTGATCAGACACTGTGTATTTTATAATATTTTAATGACTATCATAGTTGTATACATAACTTCTTTTTCTTTTGTATAGATACTTTATTTCTAAA